GGGGGGGGAGGCATCAAGAAGATGAGGCCAGTCTCTTCTCTGTGGTGCCCAGTGACAGGACAAAGGCAACAGGCACAAACTGAACCACAGGCAGTTCCATCTGAACCTGAGGAAAAACTTCTTTGCTGTGAGGGTGACAGAGCACTGCAACAGGTTGCCCAGTGAGGTTGTGGAGTCTCCTTCGCTGGAGATATTCAAAACCCGTCTGGATGTGATCCTGGGAAATACGCTCTAGAGGACCCTACCTGAGCAGGGGGGTTGGACTAGATGATCTCCAGAGGTCCCTTCCAACCTCAGCCATTCTGTGATTCAGAATTCTTGACTCTTAATAATTCTAACACACATCGTAAAAAAACTCACTCCTGTTAAAGAGCTCAACTTTATTCTATCACATTATTCTAGCACAATTCTCAGCTTTGCAGAAGTTGCCAAAAAGTGAGAGTAGCATTTCATGGAAATAAAACCACTTATGTCTTCCTCCCCATCCCTTTTCTAAGACGTTAGCTGAAATAAATTATAATTAACAATCGTCAAAGATCAGATGCATAGTATTCTCTCAATGAAAGCTTTGATCTTATAACTCTCTCCAATATTTGCATTAGTAAATTAAGAATAGCTGTTTTCCACCATATTATTCTATTCACTGTACTCAAACTGGTGCTTAAATTCACCATTAAAAAACAAAGCAAAACAGTAGATTTGACAGATGCTCAACTGACCTACAAGTATTTACATACAACATACCAATGTACAACGAATGCCAACTAGCACTCACTGCAGCTATAGTTACAGAGCTGGATTTCCTTCCAGCATTCCTAACCCTCCTCGGTTGCTGGCAGGCACTCAATCACATTTGCCAAGAGCTATGTCTGCTGCCAATACTCCCTCCCCCATAACACAAATCACTACCTCAAAAAAAAAAAAAAAACCTCAAAATACATTTTTAAAAAAATTATAGTTCCTGGTTTCATTAAAACCAGGAGATCTACAGTGCACGCTTAGATGTGCACGCTAGTCCCTTCAATTTCTTAAGTCGTTCCTCCGAATTTATTCTTCCTTTAAAGAAGAAAAAAAAATCCATCAAACAGTAACTTTTCTGTTCAACAACCCAACAGCCTTCCCACAGAGCAGGGTTAACAACATCATCAACATGAAATCTGGCAATTTTAAAATAAAAAGTGGGAATAAAACTGTGAGAGTGAAAAGGGAACAAGAAAAGTTACAATACACAAATGCCTTTTTAAATAACGTAGTCTGTCAGCATACCTGTTATGCAAAAGCTATATAAATAACCAGGGACACAAATGCATACACAAAAAAAGGGGGGGGGGGGGGGAATACTTTTTCCACATTCTTGGTAGTAACGTCAAAACCTAGTTTAATTACAGCAATAAAAAGGACAACTTTTTCCTTAGAAATTACTGAATCATTTTTGGCATAGTACTCCATAAAAATACTAGAAAAATCAATCAGAAGGGACAAATATTATTCCAAGTGATTTTAGTCTGACAAAGTTAAAGAAAAGCAAACAAAAGTAAGACCTTGCAGTTAGAAATTTGGAGATATCTTAGTAAGAAGCCAGCACAGACTGACTTATTTTGTTCCTGATCAAAAATTAACAGAAATAGGTTGTATTGACTTAAAGAACTTCAGCAAGGTTTATCTCTAAAGCACCAACTCAAAACTTAGCAGATGATGTGGACAAAGCCTTAAAAAATAATAATTTACACAAGCCACCAAAGTTTGTTAAGACGTGCTAGGTAACTCCTCCAGGGCTTCATACTTCCTCTGGGTTGACCAGAGCACACAATACAATGCTGCAGATCAGCTAGGGATTTCTCCAGTCAGCTTCACTGCCATAAGTTGGAGATCTCTCCTGTCACTGCTACTCTCCATCACAGAGGGGAAAAAACACCCATCAGCGCAAGAAAAGACACTCCACAATGGCCTTGTTGACCTTCACTGTTGACCTTCACTTCAGGTTGATGAGAGGAAAGCACGAGGGAAATCAGAACTCAAACGCAACCACAAGAAAAAGACAGAGTAAGAAGTGAAGGGGAAAAGAATAACATAGTGTAAGGAAAGGAGAAATATGCAATAGGAAGATGGGGAATAGCCTTTATTAGGCTGTAAGGGTGGTGATGGGGAAGAAAAAACAGGGAAGATTCATACCAACAAATACGAGAAGGAATTTGCCTGGCAAGCAAGTCTGATAATAGAAGTTGGTAGTAAGACCGTGTCAAATCAGTTCCTAAATTTTACTTCAGCTTTCTTCAAGCCTAGCAGAGATCGCACTATTTTGGTTATACAACCACAGAAAACTCAATATCCAACTGCTACATTTCTTTTTCTTTTTACCATCTTTAACATCACTAGTCACCAGCAGCTTACATGCCTATATTAAACATGAATTAATTTAGTTATCTTAGAAAAGGACATAATTACTGTTATTTAATCTATATACACCCAGGGAGAAGAGCAGGAAAGTTCGTTCAAATTGCGTATGCGAATACCAAAGGTAGTAGAAATATTTCAGCTGAAGCAATGCCACATCTATAACACAGAGCAGCTCTGCGCCCTTTTCTCCTACTGTCTGGCTCATACTAAGTCTTAAGTGAAAATAAACCGACTTCAACCTAGTAAGATGCTGGTTGTCTGAATTAAACAATTAGATTGTTTTACTGCTGGCTAATAAAATTCCCAGTTAGGATATTCTCAGGCAAAAATAGCAACAGACTCTTTCATCATCTGTTTTTCTAGTCTGTCTTTGCCTCTTCCAGATACTTTCAGATTACAACAATCTTCCGATTTTATTTTCTACCTACATGTGGCTAAGTTACTGCACACATTCCTTTCGCGTACGGTCACAAACCAATTACCCATGCTTTCTTTCTGTTCTTGAAGTTGCAGGTTTGATGTAAAGTTTGAGCGGACCTCAAAGTCTGACAGCATAGGTGCTACATCTGAGAGATGTAAAAACCTCACTATAGATGGGTTTAGATGCCTTTGAGCCTTAAATAGCTAGGGGAATTCTCTCCCTCACATTCAAATAGATCAACTAATTCATAGTGGAAAGTGTGAGGTGTCAATTCTCAGAATTATCTTTCATGGTACAATGTGCAGACTCATCAACACATCCGTGTTTGATTTGACAGAGCCAGAAGGCATGCTGCTAGTTCTTGCTGCTATGTTTACAAATCAAACAGTTGTACAAATAGACTGCACACCCAGAGGGAGTAAAAGTGGTATTCCTGAACTGCTGTTACTTGAAATTGTGTTACAGTTTTCTCTTTTGGAGGACTTTGCGTACACCAGCATGCATATGAATCTAGATATAAGGTAGAAAATGCTTCAAAGCAGCACAGCACCTCAAAAATAAAAGCAGTATTAAATCTTAATAACAGCAGTTTGTCACATTGTGACATTTGTTTGACTGCCCTTCAAAACCTTTTGTTTATCAGCAGCAATGACAGTACTAAATGACTTTGGCCAGACAACTGCGATAATAAGAATCATTAAGCCTTAACACATTCAAGCTTACAGAAACACTCTCCCGTGACTTCCAGTTTTGAAATTACCTACTTGAAACCAACAGGTAAACTACAACCCTTGAAAGTATTAGCTGGAGAGCATTTGCCAGACTGTTCTCCTGCAAATTGCTATTTACTGCTTTCAGCGTAATTCCCCTCCCATCTCCAAAAAAAAAAGCAAATGATTTTTCACTCATTAAGAGTTCCATATGCTTCACTTACGGAAAAAAACATTTTAGTCCCCATACTCCTCACCTTAGTTGGTATTTATACCATCAAGTCACAGCACCATAGTCTCTTGGGAACTGTCATTCTCCAACATATGCCCACCAATCAGAGCTGACTGGGTTATATATATATATATTTTTTAAGTCAACACCATAACTAATAACATTCACCACTGAAAAGACTGATGACAAATAATATTTATTTGAAAAGTTTAGTACATCAATTTGAAAGAGCATTAAATAACAAAAATTATGAAAATACAAGAGTATGAAAAAAGGATATCAATGATGACAGAAAAAACAGGGTTGCTAGCTTTGCAAGTTTTCATTATTTTGCTACCATAAATACTGAAATGCAAATGAAAGTCAGACAAATATATCATACTAACAACAGAAAATACTGTCAACACTTTGCTAGAGTCTGTTTGATAACTGCATGATGTACATGATTTACCTCACCACAGCAATCCTTTCTAGTCTGGATATGCCACGCACTAGGTTGCAGAAGAGTTAGAGAAAGCAAGAGAGAATCAAGTAGTAAGCTCTCTTTCTCTTAGCATTCAACCTTCCACATGCTTCAAAACTGTTATGCAATTAGATTATTCACAATTGTATAACAAATAGCAAACAAATCTACTTTTATCTATCCACCCCTAGTTTTAAAGCAAAGATTTATGAATTCTTTTCTACTTCTGTATTGACAATGCAGTCTAATCTTGTATAAAGCTGTCAATTCTGCTTCCAAAAGATAACAAAAAGCAGCATACCTTCAATTCCTTCAAGCTGAAATGCTTAAGCTAGACTTTCATAGAACCTCTGTATGTTTTCATATCAACTCCTCAGACTGACAATGCAAGTGCATTACATTTGTCAAATTCATTGTTATAGTATTGAATATGAATCTGATGAACTTGAGTTCTGTATTATTTTCAAGAAAATAATGTATCAAGGGAAAGCCTCACCAGTTGAGAAGGGACACCCTGGAAGAAGATCCTGCGAATAAGGTTTTTTGTGTCTGAGAAATAAATTGCATTTAGTCAAGAATGGCCGCACCTGCAGCACATGCACAATTTGCATCATCTTGTACTCCCCTTTAACTGTCTGTCTTTCCTCACACAAAGCATAACTTTTTGTATTAAAACATATCAATGTCACAGTAGCTACCCTTAAAAAAAAAAAAAAAAAAAAAAAAACACCCTGCTTTAGTAAGTCTCAACGTTTGCAAACCAATCCAAACAGCAGCAATATTTCAAACCTTATTCAATAGCCACATCTCCAGGGCCCCTCTTCTCTCTGGGACCGTATCTCAAAGGATTGCTTCCAGCAGATCCCTGAAGAAGCCAAAGCTTGCTCTCCTTAAGTCCAGGGCTGTGATCCTGCTATTTGCCTTGCTCCTTCCTTTCAGGATCCTGAACTCCATCTCATGCTAAGTGCAGCTAAGGCTGCCCTCAGCCTTCATATCCCTGACCAGTCCTTCCTTGGTTGCAAGTATGAGGTACAGCACAGAGCTTCCCCTCTTTGGCCCCTCCATCATCTCTGTAGGGAACTTGTCACAAATGCACTCCAGAAACCTCCCGGATTGCTTGTGCCTGCTGTGTTGCCCTTCCTGCAGGTTTCTGGGTGGTTAGAGCCCCCTCTGAGGCCCAGGGCCTCTGAATATGAGGCTTCTTCCAGATGCCTGAAGGTGGTTTCACCTACTTCTTCCTGATCAGGTGGCCTGGAGCAGACACCCACCATAACATCACCCACCCACGTTGGTCTGCCTGCTAATCCTGACCCATAAGCCATCACCTGGCTCCTCACCCACTCCCAGGCAGAGCTCCATACACTCATGCTGCACTCTCGCATACAGGGCCACTCCCCTCGCTTGCCCTCCCAGCCTGTCCTTCCTAAAAAGCCTGTACCCATCTACTGCAGCACTGCAGTCACGTGAACTATCTCACCATCTCTCTGTGATCTCAATGAGTTCATAGCCCTGCAACTGCACACAGACCTCTAATTCCTCCTATTTGCTCCCCAAGCTGCATATGTTAGCGTCCAGGCACTTCAGAGACACAGCCAGTTGTGATGTTTTCCTAGAAAAAAATATGACAGCTCCCCCTGTAATGCACAGGGAAATGCAACAAAGCTGAACACAAATAAGCAGCAGCATTTTTGACCCACCTGACTTTCAGATACATTATTTGGGCTTTTATTAATGAGTTTTAAGATCAACAGCCAGCAGAAAGGATGGGATCTGCAAAATCTATGTACAGCTACAGAATTCTATTTTGACCTCATAAGCTATTTGCCTGTATTAGGCTATAAGCACCAGGATGACTGTAGGTAGGTAGTCAAATGAAGACCACTTTTTTACATTAATCTTGTTCCAAGACAGCTTTGCACCAGCTACCCCCAAAACAGTTCCTGGACTTAAACACTCTACTATTCAAATATAATTGGATAGAGCACTCTCACTCTTAAGTCTGTCCACCTATCAGAAGTTTACCTGGCTAACGATAAAGTAAAATAATGCATTAAAAATAATTTTGCTAATAAATTTAATTTATAATACACTGATTCCTTAACATTTTTATAACACTGTCTTAAGAAAAAAAAAAATCAAGTCAACAAACTGTCGGACGCACTCCTTGCAGCGGATTTTACTGAAATGCCACAACAGCTTTTGATAATAGCCACATCATACACGTGTGCAGGTAAGATACGTTCTTCTTTCCACTTTTTCCAATTTAACCAATGGAATTCAGTGACTACATTGATCTAGTTCCTGCAGTTCAATTTAAAAAGGCTGTAAAATTCTGTTAAAAAAAATTCAGAAGGGATAAAATCTGTTCGTTCTAAGATGAAGAAACAATAACCTGAAACATTTGAATTCCTGTCTAAATGTATTATTACTTCTTTTCCTTTAAAAATGAAATATATTCTGAAACTGTACTTCCCCCTGACATACCAGCCTGAATTCAGTTGTCAGAATTTTTCAAGTAAAACATTTAATTTTAATTTCTTCCCCCAAAACATCAACATTAATCACAAATAAAAATATAATTGCATTGGAAAAGATAAATACATCGCTCACTATAATTCAATGTATTAAGATGTAAAAATTAGACTACTTAACAGAGCTGCAAGTATGCCCAGCAAAACAAACATTTTGATGAAAGGCTGTATTTCTCACTATTTTAACAGCTATCAGAAAGAAACAAGTTCTTAAAAAGAAAACATTAGGAATGCAAAGTTAATATTATCTTTAATAGCTTCCAACATGTTGATTTAAAAGCAGTACTGCAAAGTTAATCCTTCCTGCTGTTGGATGGATTAGATAAAAAACTGAAATGTTATTAAAGGGCTGGGGCTCTCCTAAACAGGACTTAAGAAAATGGCTGCCAAACTAGGAACTAGGGAAGCTGCTGCACACATCCAGTCAGGCAAAACAAAGATGAACATCAAAGGAAAAGGCTTACATTAATTTTTTTTTTTTTGAAAACAGAAATAATTTCTCATACTAGAGAGAGAGAGAGAGAGAATGCAATGGCTCATTCAAAATTCTGTGTAAAGCCAGCACGTGTACTTGCATGCACCAGTCACACACTACTAACATAAAAGTCCCAAACTAGAAAGTTTGCACCTTTTTTGGGGAGGTGGGGGGAGCAGAGTGTCTCACACATTCAGGGTCAGGGCAGAGTCCAGAAACAAACACCATGACAGTGCAGCTCTCTCTACAGAGAAGATGCTACACAGCACGTCTTACTCCTAAGAGACCTCAAGGGCACACCCACACTGCTCAGAGTCTATATGCTTAATCACAGCAGTCCCTCCTTGGCAACTGCAAGCGAAAGCTCTGGGTTTGAGACTGCGCTGCAGGCTCTTTCCTGAGCAAGCAGCAACCTATCCCTTCCCAACAACAGCCAGCCTGCCCCAGCTGCTAGCACAAAGGGCGCAGGCTGAGGCAGAACCACAGGGTTGGGTAAGTGCTGCCTCTGCCTGCCCCAGAGAGCTGGGTTTTCATCCGAGGGTGCAGCTGCCACTTTCCCCTTTACTCTGGAGGCGGCAGCAGCAGACCGGGCCTGTGGGATGGGCTGAGGACAAGCGTGACAAGACGCATTCGGTCAGCTTAAACAGCTGTTGCCAGGCATCCTCCCATAAAAAGCACCAGACTGGAGAGAAGCTGATCACAGATCGCCATTGGACTGTTGTGCCTTAAACGAAGTCAGGAATTCAGTGCTTGGATCCCCTCCTCCATCTCCTTCAAGAAAAACAGCAACAAATAGGCGAATGTGACAGCTTTTTTCTTGCCATCCAGCAGTGAAAGAGACAAGCACATAATACATCAAAAATAGTCCACGGATTTATGACACGGACTGTTCAGGAAGAGGTTCTAAACTCACCTTAAGGATTAGCACATTCAAAGTCAATAGCTCATTTAAAAACACAGATAGGCCTTTATTGCAAGTATTTTCACCTGCAGATTAAATGAAAATTGAAAGAGAACTAAACACTGTACAGGCTGCAAAGTAACAAATGCTGGGCTAGCAACTTCAGGTTTATTTTTTAAAATACATATCAAATTTTTCACTTGTAATAACATGTGTACACTGATTCCTTTTAAAGGAAGGAGTTCTAAATTTGCCTTTCAGTATCAAGATAGCAATATTGATATACTAGTAGAAGGAAGCAACAGACTTCCAGGAAAAAAAAAAAGTTAATTTAAGAAGCAACACAGACCTACTTCACCAGTTCACTGAACCTTTAAACCTGCACATAGTGAGAGAGAAAATTACAACACAAGAAACTCTATTCCAACGTCACTAATGCAGCTCCAAGAACCAGCCAATACACATACAACTCTCCACACTGTGAAAAGAATCATGATAAACTGGGTACAGCTATTTCTTACTAAAATTATGCTTAAGTAAATAGGAATAAAACCAATCTTGCATCAGTGATGCTAAGCTTCAGAAAAGTGAAGCAACATCTTCCAAAGGTGGAGAGTCCAGGTCAGGAGTCCTGAGCCAGAGAGACACTTCCACAGCCACATTAGCACACCAGCAGGCTGCTGCCAAACGATGAAGTCCTGTCCTCTATCCTAACCATAACCCTCGTGCATGCTCCTGCCATGACTAGCTGTATATATCAGCTCTGGGAATTGATTTTGCTAAAAGCTAAGCCAAGAGAGGGAGGAGGCGGGGAGGACACAGTAGCCCATGCTTTTGGGTTGCATGGGAATGACTGTGCAGTTGTGCCTGCAGTTCTCCATTTGATCTAAAATGGCAACCAGCAACATTCTTTTGAGTTGTCAGTGCAGCAACAGCTGGAAAAAGCATGACACCTAATGAAGTAATTCATTACTGTTGTTGTTTTTGCCTGCCTTTTCCTCCTCCTGGGGCCACCTTTCTATGCATATCTCATCTGAACCTAATCTAATGCATGTCAAAAGAGACAGCTTAAAGCTGTAAATAAAAGCCCTGTTTACCTACCTATGCAGTAGCTCAAGCAACACTGGTATATATACTTTGAAACAAAAAACATGTTGTATGATGGCAATTTGTTTAAAGTTTAAAAAAAAAATACACACAGCATGAAATGACCCCTGAACAAGCCAAATGACACATTCTTCAGTTTCAAGAACTGTAACGTTGAAGAATGTCAGACATCAATGTGTAATAAAGCATGTCCCAAAGAAAAGGATATATCAAGTTTTTGAAAATGGCTTACTATCTGTGCTGTTTTCAAATGAATTTTGACTGTTTATAAAGAAAAATCCCACGTCATGGAAAATAAAAAAGCTTTAGTAAACTCTAGCTTTTGAAAGTACTGTCCAAAAAAGGCTCATACAGTAAACATGAGATTTGACTCTATAATTTGGTAGTTCATCCTCTCACTCCCAATACCTACTATGACATAAACAGAACGTAAACCATCTCCAGAAGACTTGCACACCAGCAAAGTTGGACAAAATCTACTGCAAGAATAAGAGTTTTTCAGGCTTCTGCTGAAATCTGTGGATCTGCCCACCCTCTGTTATGAAGATATTAGAGCCTGTATGACACACCTGGCAAAGCTGGCCTCACTATGTTAGCTCACAGCCAAATCAACTGACAGATGAACTGCATATGATATGCAGTCCTAGTTGCAGACAGCCACATAGCTGACTCAAAATTACAGCAAGCATCTGGATAGGGGACACAGGATTGTCACAGCACTGCCATGACAAAGTGCCAAAAAGCATTAACTGATAAACCACTGGATGCTATCTTTCAAATTTAAAAGACATTATAATTCAGTGGCAGCTTAGGTAACTCAAATAATAGAGACGCTCTTGGGCATTTTAATGCCCAATCATGTTCTCCATATTTACAGAGTGTTGATGCACATGAGGCATAAGAAGAACAGAGTCTGATGACTGTAAAAATCTATTAAAGATAAAACACAAGTATTTAATGAGAATTACTTCTGTTCTCTAAGGCTGTGCTAGAGGGGATAAAGAACAAAGGCTAGCTAACCCTCATGCCTATTTAAGGACTCAGTTATCTACAGTGAGGCAGAACATGTAAGACTTGATGACCATCTAGTAGTAATAGTTACTCAAAACAGGTTTGTATTGTTTCCTTAGTAATACTGTTAAAGTAACTTGTGAAATACAGTAACGACAGGCCGACTGGGATGTTCAGATAGCAAACAATGGTTTCACATATTCCAAATCAGTATCCATGCCATGACAGATACCTTGGAGGGCAAGATCTTCCTTATTCCAACTAGCACAGGTTAAACTTGCAAAAAAAAATCTATCAGTAAACAAATACCTAGTCTTCGGCATTTCCCTGGAATTACAAGCG